GACCGACAATACTCACAGCGCCAAAAATGGAGTTCATGCACTATTCATAGATTTTCGCAAAGCGTTTGACCTTGTTGACCACGGAATTCTACTTCGTAAGCTCGCAGAAATGAATGTAACCAAGGCCTTTTGGCTATGGACACGTAGTTTTCTGGAAGATAGAAGACAACAGGTCAAACTAGCAGGAACCCTATCATCGGTCAAACCTTGTCCTGCCGGAGTCCCACAAGGTTCTGTGATGTCCCCCGCTCTTTTTAATATTCACATTAACGATATTGAGAACTCAATCCCAGATGGATTATCCATAAACATATGCAAATACGCGGATGATTGTACACAGGACGAAGTGGTGTCACAAGGTTCATCCAGCCATATGCAGGAGGCCCTTGAAGCAGTACAAGAATGGTCTAATAGGAACAAAATGACGATAAATTCGAAGAAAACAAAAGATATGTGGATATGTTTTAACACAGCAATACCGGCACCAGAACCATTGGTCATTGGAAACGAGGTAGTGGAAAGAGTAAATTCTCATAAACTGTTGGGTGTCTGGCATCAAAACAATTTGAAATGGAACTGTCATGTCAAGAACATTGTAAGGAAAGCAAATAAACGAATGTTTAGTCTGAGAGAATGCCGTAGGGCGAATCTTCCTCCTGAGGTCGGTATTACATGTTATGAATCCAAGATTAGACCTGTTTTAGAATATGCAGCTCCGATATGGGGTGGTTTACCACAATATCTCATTGATGAAATAGAGAGCATTCAAAACAGATGCATCAAAATCCTCGGCACATCTCGGTGCAACTTTGAAACGCTAGAACAAAGAAGGGCACACCTAACTGTTAAGGAATACCAAAGAATTCTAAGTGATCCGACCAACCCATGTAATAAACTTATCCCCCAACCTTTTACCCATGAACACGATCTAAGAACAACAAATAATCTACCATATGTTGTATCGTATACTAAAAGACACCGGCAATCCTTTATACCTAGAGCTATATTCCTTTTAAAACAGTCGTAAATTAATTTTATAGAATATATAACTAGTATAAACATTTTTAGCAACATTGATGTAAATAATAGTAAAATTTCTTCTTATCAATTTTAACCTTAGCACTTCTTGTAAATCCATTGTACTTTTTTAACCAAAGATGGATATTAAATGTTATTATTATTATTATTATCTTCAGTGACACGAGTTTCAGAAAACGGCTTGTGAAATTTTCTACAGTCTAAAGTTTCATGTTGTGTGCACATGTACTTTTTTGGAAACACAATTTGTTTTGTCAAAATTAAATGATCAAGATAGTGACTCTGATTGATTCACATATTGTATTGACAAATGACTAGCTGTTGGCATTGCTTTTCAGTCTCCAATATTTCAGTGGGTCATGCTTTGGAAATGACAATAAATTTTTATTACCCAACCCTTGAGTTGTTTTGTTTTTCAATTACCCAACCTTTTACTTACTCAAAATTTTGTTTACCCAACCTTTTTCTCTTCGTTGCCACCCCCCACCATAAATAATGACCGGTCCCTTAATTATGGTTAACACATTAAAAAATACAATGTTCCTAATGCTCTTTTAGTCTTTTTTATTTTATTCTGTCTAATTGAAGGCAATTTTGCTTTCAAGAGAGAGCGTAATTTGTACACATAGCATATTACCAGGTTAACAGAAATATGGCTATGTAAAAACTCACAAATATTGTAGCTCGATAAACTCAACTCCTAAACATTTTGTGTTACTCAATACTCATTAGGGTTATCGAAACAACTATACTTTCCGGCTGCCAATGCTTTTGTCTACTCATAATGTACGTCTCTGGATTAATATTTAATGAGCACTAGCTGTATGAGTGGAATACTTTATTAGACAACACACATCACGTTTGGCAGATGGAAAACCTTAAATACAATTAAATCTTTCAGTGGTAAATAATAGAATGCATGACTGGTTTATAGCAAATCAACAAAGCATGAAAGTTTGTGCTTTAAGTACATGATTCAATTTGAGCGAATACTGTATCTGTTATTAAGTTAATATCGTCAACTAGTGTACTCGCGCGTCTATATAGCCCAAAGTTCAACAAAGCAAAAAAAAATATATAATCGTTTCATCGTTTGCTTTTTGTTAATACGGCATTTATACAGAATATATTATACAGTATGAACATACCGCATTACATGTTTTATCCCACAACTGATATGCGATGTTTTATCACTTTGCGCACTTTTTCGACAGCGAATAATATTTGCTGGCAAGTTCATTATATGGCGGCTTGCTTCTTCCTTGAACCTGACCAGAGCTTCCTGAATTTTTAGTAAGGATATCGCCTTGGTTTGTCTTTCTCTTCTCTCGAACCTTTTGCGCTTCTTACGGGCTGTCCTCGTTCTTTTTTCTGTTGGTTAGGGCTGTGAATATGCCGTTTAACTAAAGTAGGCTTTTCTCACACAACGGTTGTTATTAGGCATAGATGTCGGTATAAACTGCGCGCGATTTTGCTCCAAATAAGTTTACTAATGCATAGGTCTGGTTTGACGTCATCATGCCCATATTTGGTGAGTGCGCAAAGTTAATTGCATTCACCTTGTCCGTCGTATTCATGCATGCAAAGATTTATATTTCTTAGGCCGCGTGTACACGATACCAGACAGATTTTCATTTACCAGACAAAAGTTTAAGTATTTGACCACTTATCCGTACAAGTTTTTGTCCGTCACGAAAGCGTACCAGTTTCAAAATGTATCGACCAGACAAATGTTTGTTCGGTACTATGTAACCGCAAAATTGGAACAAATATTTGTGCGACTACATCTCGGGAAACCTGGAACGTAAACAATGCCCCGAGCAAAGTCTGATCACATCCGAATTCCGCCAAGCAAAGAGCGAATCTATCCAGTACGAAGTATGTCGGAGGTCTATTGTCGTTAGCAGTTCAAATTTTTCGCAAAAAGAATGTATGCTTCGACAGCTGTGAACAATGATAGCGCACAGGCATACCACAGGAATATGCAGACAAATATTCGTCCGACATTGCAATCAGTATACAGGTTTCTATCGAAATAGAAATTGGTCTGGTGCCATAAAAGTAGAGTGAAATGGTTTGAACCATGCAAATGGCCCAAAATAATATTTCTTTTCAATCGTATGCTTCCATAAAGTTTTAATTATTATAGGGAATGCATAATGACTAAAATGTTTACATCATTACAAGGACATAATTTACTCATTTGAGCGAGCAAAATAACCGCTGCATTTAATCTGTAACATTGAAAATCATATTTAAAGAGCGCCATGGCGCTCAAATAAGTACGAAATTAGTAAATTACGGTGTCCATACAATACATGCACGAGATAACAAAATGAATAAATAGTACTATAATACAATTTTATCCACGACTTCTTGTGTGCGCCTTGCGGTATTAATCTGTTTGGTTTTTTATATGGAGATATCCAAATAGAGAAGGAATTTTCAAGTATTTTATCTACTGTAGCTATTAGCTAAACATAATATGCTAACACCTGAAATTTGTTTACAGACATCATGAATCATCAAATTCCATCATAAATTGCAGTAGGGATTCACTTCTTATTATGTTGTTATCTATTCCACTTCCAATCTGAAGCATTCAAAGGAATGTTTAACTTTACAAACTATGTTGTGGAAACACGTATGAGATGAGATTATAATATTCCAAGTGTGAATATTAGGTGAATATGTGTCATATTCACGGCATATTCACGCTTGGAATACTCTGCAATATTATGCCGTATTCACACTAATATTCCACGTCAGAATACTGTTGCAATATGCGTTTTCTTCTAACCCGTATAGACATGTGAATACCTCGGAATACGTCGCTTTTCATGCAGTGTATCGTAGCAAATTGGATGAGAAACATTTATTTGCTGATTAAGCAATTTCATAAGATTCTGTCGCTCAGATTCCTCCTGTAAGCATAGAACATCTTCTTCTTGATCTTCTGATAGCCCAATGAGACCCTGTTGTTTGCGACGCGCTGTTGCTAGCCGTGAAGAGAAGCCTTGTATTTGGATCTTGGTCAACCACTCCGTCCTGGTAAAAAGACGTTCGTTAGACTCATCTTTGGCACTTCTCATGTCCGATACAACTTGAGTAGGGTCAGTTTTTCTTCCGGTTCTTTCACCAAGGTTAAACCGTGCAGTTAGATAATCTTTAACTTTCTGTGAAAACCTGACGTTGCTTCTAGGTTTGCTAAGGGCAAATCCTTTTTGTAGCCTTGAGCTTGCGGTACTGCTTTCCTGAGATCTTTGTCTCTCACTAAAATCAGATGAGTAGCTGCTTTTGGCATTTGTGACGTCTACGGATGAAAATTTGAGTGCCAAGTCTCGTTTTATCTGATCGTACTGATTCACTCGTCCGATGTTGTGTTTGCTGACGTCCAGGTGAAGCTGTAATTGCGCAAATGTTTCAAAGGCGTCTTCACAGCCAACAACGGAACACTCAAACAGTTTTGTCTTACTCTTAGTTACTTTCTTTGCTTCAGAATTGCGGTTTAGTTTACGCTTAGCAGGGGGGTCATAGAAACCTTGTGATTCCATTGTTTGGAGCAGGGGGGGCATAGAAACCTTGTGATTCCATTGTTTTGGTGGTTGACGTAGATATTGTCATATGGAATGTTCTTTCCTTGACCAAAACCATAGCATTTCCAAACTCTCACGCCAGACTCTTCATAACTGAAGCTGTGATAGGCACTGAAATCTTGTATGGTTTTGATTGAGAGGGTCTTCTGGGACTCGTTGACAGTGCTAACTGCAGCTGTTGTTCCCTTTACTGGGTGTTGCAATAATGCGTCTCTCATGTGCACAGCGGTTAGAACGTCATGGCCTTCATTGCTTTACGTACGGATAGCATGTTTCATTGGACATAGAATACGATCACGTATGTCCTTACCCGCTTGTGGCTCCGAGTAATAATAGCCTTGAACTGTAACTCCGACTCTCTTTGCAATATCCCTCAGAGCAGCTATTAAAAAATTGTTATGGTAACAGCCAGCTTCATCTGACCTTAGGAAGACCGTCTGCAACTTAGGATTCTTTACTTTCAACTGCTTAATTAGATCTTCAATAATTGAACTAACTGCGTACCAGTCTTGTGTACATTGATCAAAGAGATGCGCATATGAAGTAACTTCGACTTTGTCTGACTGGCTTCGAGATATCACGCTACTGATATGCCAACTAAGGCCTCTCTTTCCATACCAATCACTTTGCTTCTCTCTAAAACGGAGCTGTAAAAACTTCATTGCCCAGTCCAGTATGTGGAGACATGAGCTCTGGTGAAGGTTTGCGATGATATCTTGTTTTGCCAATTCTTGATTAACAGATCTCATAATATGACCTTTCCACCTGTCGAGAGCATCCGATGCTTTCTCTATGTCATACAGCAAGTCATCTTTATGGTCCTTTCTGTAGAAACTCAAGGTTTTGCCATCCTCGACAATCTTGCGTATTTTCTGTAAACATGTAGTGATGTCATCACACTGAGGGCAGCGCAGTACATGCTGATTGACACATTGTTCTTGAAGGTCTGGATCGCTTGGATCACTGAGTCCAAATTTGCGACGATGATCGGCGCATTTGCTTTCATTATCCTGACAGTGACTTTGGTATTCGGTTTTGAAATACTTCTTGCCATTTACAAGGGATTTCCGCAATCCATCTGCCTCGAGTTTATCCAGCCCTATTTGATCAAGCTCAAAGATACTATTCCATGCTATCGCTCAAATCCCGCGGACCCATCGGCTGCGATGTTGTCCAAGCCACTCAGTGACTTCTGTTGAGAAACTTCTCTTACATCGAGAATGCGAAACAGAGTAGCGCGGCTTAGAGGCTCAACATTTTCTTCTGTGCAGAATTGAAGGTATTGCTTGATCATTGTTGACCTTGTAACTTTGCGAATAACATTTGGCATTTCCATTTTCTCGCGGCAGCTAAGTGTTAGTTTTCTTGTTCCAAAAGCCACATCCTGGTAGAAGTATGGCCGATTGATGAAGTCGATGAAATGGTCCAGTTTTGCTCTTGGCAAGCGTACTCGGTGAAATGATGAATTTTCTGCCAATAAACCTGGTCCACGCTCCTTGGCATGAGCCCTAGCACGTCGTAATTGCCATTCTGTCAACCGCTCGTATTGTTCATGAATTCGTTGAAGTGTACGTACTGGATATCTATAAGCATACAGATTTAGAATTTGCGTTTTGACATTTCTTGTGGGAGCTTTGCAGTACGCTTGCATCAGTGGTACAATATCTCCATAAGTATCTTCTTCTGACATGCAGCATGATTTAAAAAGTTCTTGCCCAGCTTTTGGGGCTATAAAAGCACACACCAGATTCCAGGCTTCGATTGCCTTGTCTATGCACACTTCCTTTTCGTCTTCTTTAGCTTCATCCCATGTAGTCTTCAATTGGAACGTCAAGGGATTAACTTGATCGGCATAACTTGATCCATGGCATCATTAAAAACTGTCATTGCTGACCGGCTGGAACTCATACTTTCTTCGTCGTCTTCTGAACTTTGGCTGTCTGGTCCGGAATTGCACCCCAAAGTCCACTCAGCAGTCTATGTCGCAGTTTTCGATCGTTTGGATACAGGTGTTATACAAGGAGTTGTAGTCAGAGCTTCGAGGTTCATGGCTCCCATTCGTTTGGCTAGTCTATGGAAGAAGTGACGTGAAAATATAATATGATTGCTGAGGGCTCTGCGGAGGGTTAAGTACGGATTGCGGATTAGCTATGCTTTGAATTGGCTTTGACGCGGCTCAGCTTGCGTGCGCTTGGCTCGGGATCATTGATCAACTACCAATAGGTACCAGAACTTAAGTAATGGATTTATTCAACGAGGATGATATTCCTGGCATATCAATGGCCCTCATTTAATCCTGGTTTCCATTAATTAAATCGTAATTATCGCAAGTGTCGCGTCGCAAGTGTTGCAACGACTTTGAAAACTGCATTTTACAAACTTTTTCTGTGGAATCTTATTGGCACAAGTCACCTAATGTGAATGGCAGTGTTTTTGAAGTCTTAAGCGATCAAATCGTTGAAATGGGATTATGGCGATTTTTACTATTACGACTTTGGCGACTATTGCGATAGTTATGGAAACCAGTCTTTAGAAAAATCTTTTGAAGTATGATGTCACGTTTGCAGCTATGATGTTTAGAATGACTGATCCGCAATCCGCCCTTATGCGCGCTCGGCAGAGAAACTGTCTTCTCTGTATTGCTCACAGATGAAGATCTTTTGAGTGTGTGTGATTATTCTACTGTATGTATAAACTTTATTTGCTCTGACATCCATCGACAAATTCTATTCTACTTGGACTGCATGGTACCGGTCAAAAAGAAAGCAATTTATTCCAGTACATTTTTTAAGGATTCTTCAGTGGTGGGGGCACAAAACTGCCAATGGGCCCATTTTCCTTGCCCTTCCACCAGGATAGTATGCGATCGCCGAAAGTGTGAGCCGAGTACCGCAGGCACGAGATAGCAAGGGGGGCCCGGGGGTATGCCCCCCAGGAAATTTTTAAAATTTGGGTCTCTGAAATAGCATTTCCTGCATTCTGAGAGCGCATTTAAAAAAATATCAACTTCCCATAACAAAGTCTTAATGGTGAAATTTGTAATAAATTGCATGCTAAACATTCAAATACAACATAAGTTTAAGTATACTCACCAACAAATTTTGTGTTTAAACCTCTTTTCAATGTTAAACTCATTTACTCAATACAGCTCTTAGGGCCCTGGCTTTGGGGTAATAGGCCATTTTTTTCCTCAGTGGTGTAACAGAGGGACGGGCCCAGTGGGGAAAATGCCCCACCAGTTCATGGTACTAAAAATGCCTTGATTTATTCATGCCAGCATAATCACAAACTAATTATATAAAATCACCTCACCTAATAGATTCATCTTTCTGAGTTTGCTGTCCCTCCATCCACGCTAGGTTGTCGGTGAGTTTTATTTTGTGACGATTGTAACATGAAACACAAATCGTTGAAAAGCACAGACAAAATATATTCATACTTAAAAGAATGTGAACATATATACTATGAAAATGAACATATATACTATAAAAATTCGTTGTTCAAAGATCCATGGTAAACAAAAGTTGCTGAATGAAAGTAAAACAACACAAACTTTTCAAAGAAATCCAACTATCCTATCTTACTTACGGGATCCTATTGGAACGCGCTTTCCATATACTGTACCAATTTGTCTTGATATTTCAGCAGTAATTACATTTCTCGTACTGAGTTTCTTTTTTGGACCAGAATGCAGCGGATACTGACATGTAAGACGAGGCCTCCAGTTCCTTCCCACGGCATCTCTGTGTTTTTCACAAATCCAAAGCTGCTCAAGTTGATTTGAAGAAATGTCGAGTGGTAAAGAGCACCTGTTGACGATTAGCTCTGATTCTTGAATGGTTGACAGATTTATCAACTTAGAAGAAGACTCACTACAGAGAGCATCTCCCCAACTTCAAATAAACATTTCGATTCCATCTTTTTTAAAACGCAAACTAGTAATATACATACAATAAGCTTCATTTGATTGCAACATTTATTGAAACATACTTCCATTTGAAGCTGAGTCCTGCGGTATACTATTTGTTTCCATCTTCCATTCTGACATGGCGTTAGTTCTTCAAGTTTCAAAAAATGTAAAATACTCTTGTAACTGACCCTAGCCCTAAAACCTACCTTAACCTCTACTATAAAACTAATCCAGACCCTACCCTAACCAAATTGAGGAAGAAAAATAAACGAAAATGGAAATTTGAAATTTGGGAAATTGCGCAATGTCAGTTTGGTGGATGGAAACAAGTGAAAACCCAGGAAACGGTAGATCACAACAACGGTTGAAATTGACGTTTTGCCGCCTCATTAACAGGCAAATATTATACTTTTGTAACAGTTTAACGTCTCTCTTTTCTACAATAAAAGGCTTTGATGAGTTATTGTCCAAATTTCGAAGAAAGTGCTCTCTGAACAGCATTATTCGACGCTAGAGGGGGACTATTATGGCTACGAGTCGCATTTGTCAACAATCGGCCTATCAATGCATCATGCTTCTACTGATACAAACCTTTCAAGCCTACTTTCTGGATATTTCTCGGCCCTGTGGTGGACTTCAGCGCTCTTGGATATTAAGCAATGTCAGCAGATGGAAAAATTCCGTTCTTCTGAAACATGTAAGTTCTATTTTTGACAAACCGGATTTGCAGTAAGCAGAAAATCGTAAACAGTCGGCACACGTGCTATTTCAAGTGGTTATAACTTTTTAAAATCAAACATCGTACACTTAATTTTTACAATATGATCAAACGAAGGGCTATATTTTTGAGCTGTAAAGGTTTAAAGCGCCAACTAAGTCCCGCTTTTTTTCAATTACGGTCTAAATAAAGGCTATTTTGAGACTTTTCGAGGAAGCGATCAGTAGAGATTTTAATACCTAAAATTGCGACTTTAGCAGTAAAGCCACGCACAAATGATAATAATAATAGTAAACTAGAGGGAATAAGAAATAAATCGATGTATGATTTATTCTTTTTTGATGCGAATGAAATATTTTACAGCGCTTCTAAAAATAGCTTTTTTTCAGTTTTCGAGACGTCGCTTCAGAGCCAAATGACCCGAACGACTAAGTTGCTCCTAGCACAACAACAAAATCGTTTTGAAGCAAACCAAACCCGTTTTTATTCTAGTATTACTAAAGCCTTTCAGTCGCCAGGGTTTAAAATTAATTAAAGGAAAAATTATTTTTGAAACGAAAATGACCTGGTGGTTCTTACTGAGACAGCCTCTTAATATCGAAACAACAGCGAAAAAAGATGTTCAATGAACGACAAATGAATTTGCAGTCAACAAGCACTTACTATAACCAAACATCTGTATAATATATCTGAGCTTTTCTGTGAGATATAGAGGTTCTAAAACCATTTCTTTCACTTCGTCTTCGAGTTGTAAAACAAAAATATTTCAAATTTTCAAGCGGTTTTTGGCCGAACAAATTGTCAACACATTGTAACAGTGAATAATTAATTATATACTGCTTCAGCTAATGGCTATATTAGACTATATTATAAAACAATTATGCCATTCGCCCTCGTCGTACATGGCTGATAGCCGACCAGGCAAAGATAAATATATAATATATAATATATAATATATAATATATAATATATAATATATAATATATAATATATAATATATAATATATAATATATAATATATAATATAGAATATAGAATATAGAATATAGAATATAGAATATAGAATATAGAATATAGAATATAGAATATAGTAGATAGTAGATAGTAGATAGTAGATAGTAGATAGTAGATAATATATAGAATATAGAATGTATATATAGTATATATAGTATATAGAATATATAGTATATAGTATATAGAATATAGTATATAGAATATAGTATATAGTATATAGTATATAGTATATAGGATATAGGATATAGAATATAGGATATAGGATATCAGATATAGGATATAGGATATATAATATATAATATATAATATATAATATATAATATATAATATATAATAGATAATACATAATATATAATATATAATATATAATATATAATATATAATATATAATATATAATATATAATATATAATATATAATATATAATATATAATATATAATATATAATATACTCACCTTAATGAGTATGATAATTTTAAAGAGATGCCTAGAGACCAGAGAAGTGTCAGCGAACATTTCAATAAACTGATAACAGAATTTAAATAAAAAATGAAAAAAGAGGAGAATTCAACTGGCTGCAGTCCTGACCCACCAACTGAAAAGATACCCTTCTTGAAGATAGAGTGGAGCTAATAAATTCACAACCAAAAGATAGTGAGAAAGCATGAGAGTGAAAAGGAGAAAGCCCTTGATGTTCTAAATCAAGCTTTGAAAACCTGGAGCATGCCTAAAGACCTTGTGATGATAGTGATGACAACGACAGTGGCCATATAAGTGACGATGACAAGTCGACTAAAAGGCGAAGCACAAAAGTATCATATTAAACAGGTGAGACCTTCAAGTATTTGGAGGTAAGAAGTGCACAAGAAGCAAGCATACGGAAGGAGGAACTACAGTTCCGTAAAGAGCAAAAAGAAATTGGCCAGGAGAGAATTCAGGTGGAACGAGCAAAGTTTTGAGCAGATGCAACAGCAAATTCAGCAAACAACAACAACAACAACAACAACAACAACAACAACAACAACAACAACAACACCAACAACAACAACAACAACAACAACAACAACACCAACAACAACAACAACAACAACAACAACAACAACAACAACAACAACAACAACAACAACAACAACAACAACAACAACAACAACAACAACAACAACAACAACAACAACAACAACAACAACAACAACAACAACAACAACAACAACAAACAAGAACGACAACAAGAAACACAACAAACAACTACAACAGCAACAACAACAACAACTACAGCAGCAACAACTACAACTACAGCAGCAACAACAACAACAACAACAACAACAAACAACTACTACAACAACAACAACAACAACAACAACAACAACAACAACAACAACAACAACAACAACAACAACAACAACAACAACAACAACAACAACAACAACACATTTTATTAAGCACTATTAACAATTACAAGGGAAGTATTTACAAAAACAAAAATTAAATAACAGTATAGTGCAGGGCAACTGTAGTAACCGTAGGGGCTAATCGAGACAGTTGTCCTTTAAAACGACAAGTAAATAAACATAAAGAGGCATATTTGACAAATAAATAATACAAACAATCACCCGATAAGCACGTTTGACGCCGGCTGGCAGCCGGAAATTTTGTCTCCGATTGCTCGGCTGCCAGCCGGGCTGTACTATAGTATACTATTCGTTCAAAAAATGCGCGCATTTCGGAGATTGGTTCTAGAATGTTTCATAAGCAGAAAACCACCAAAATTACATTAAATTTTCCGAAAATCATCGAAATGCATCTAAATTCATCTTCCTAATGCGTACAGCTAGTTATGCGACAGGTAAATAAACGAGAAAAAATTACGGCAAAGAGAAAAATTGAGAATTATTCGCGCTCACTCTGACATTCGAACTTACGACCCTCGGCATACACGCTAAGTGTTGTTCCCCTGCGCCACCACGTCTTA